TTTCGATCTTTTTACACAAAGACAAAAGATTCTGCTTGTCACCATAAAAAGGTGACTGTAACGCTGCCATCTACAAAAAGAATTTCCGTAAACCTATTCAACGGAAAATTAAGAAGCTGGATTTAGTCAGGCACAAAGCGAAAGAACTGATTAATACAATTTTTTTATTACAAACAAATATAAAAACCTCGTAAAGTAAACATCCAACGCTCCATAAATCCGATTTAAAGTTATAACCGGTGTCTTGTATCCTTTCCGGACTCATGTAATACGGTGTGCCCACCAGAGAGTGGGCAACTGTTGTTTTCTGACTGAAAAAGCGTCCAAGACCAAGATCACCCAACTTAATGGTTCCTTCAGCGGTGATAAAAATATTTGCTGGTTTGATATCTACGAAAACTCTCCCTTACACAACAGTGATTGAAAAAACCTTTCTAAAAAGTGGGTTATTACCCTTAAGATTGTATAACTACAGAATCAAAACCTACTTCCATGAAAGAGCTCAAAAGCACTGCAAAAAACGATAAAGCAGAATTGTTGAAACTGACTCTAACAAAATTGGAATGTATTTCGTCAGCATCGAATCACAAAAACAACTGACAGAAAAAGCTTTTTTCATACATGACAGAAAATAAATCCACAACTTTTGATAATAACCTCTATGCATTATCCTTTTAGAATGCATGTGTTCCAAACCACGTATAATCTGCACAAAGTATTTCCAAATAATGCGTTCCGGAATTAGACTCTGGATGCCTTTATAGTACTAAAAAATGTCACATTAAAGCTGCAGAATAACAACTTACATGTTATACACAGTCTTGAAACAAAGTCAAGCGGAAAATGCGCAAGCCACACTGAACTACCTTAATAATAAAATGAAGCAACCTTAATTTACTTCTCAAAAACGCTGAAAATTTATTTATGATCTAGTAGAAAACTAGCAAAAAAGAGCAATAAGCCAAAACTTAGAAACAAACCCGAATAAGCCGACTTAGATCTCCAGCATCTGCTAACTCCAAAACTATGTACATTTGATTGTCTTCCACAAATGATGTGTAATATTTGATTATATTTATATGATCCAGTTTTTCAAGTAACCGAATCTCTCTTCTACAATCATCTAAGCTTTTCTGATCCACCATTTCATATACCTGAAACTGGGACCTAAATCTAACTCACATTAAAGCCCAACTATTTACAAAAACTATCTGAACCCTGAGTTTAATTAAAGTCTTAAACTGCATTAAACGCTGCCTATCGTCAAAGTTGCTTTTTATATCCGTAACATCATTATTACAAAAAACCTAGGTAATAAAAGCTAACTTTAATCCTTTTTAAAGCCAACACTTTTCCATCTTCCTTACACTTCGCCCGATGAACATCAGAAAATTGCCCTTTCCCAATTTTCTTCTCCACTTCAAACGCCTTTAACCTCCCGTACTTCACAGAAGGATTGCCAGAAAACTGCTCAGATAACATAGCTAAAACTGAAAAGACACATCAGACTTTAAAATAAGAAAAAAACACGGTAAATTTGAGTTTGTATAAAACAGAGTCCTAAGTAGATATCACCAAATAAAACAAAAATGAAAGTGAAAAGTGTTTATGGCACACAATTAATTCGAAAGGTTCCCAGCATAACACGGAGGCAAGCAGACATTGGGGTAAAATTATATAATTTAAAAAAAAAAATGAAATTGATATCAATTTGGTAACTGGACAAAAGTCCCCAGACGGATGATGATCAAACTGCAACCACCTGAACTTACATCACAATAAAGTCAAATCAGCAATTTTGGACAAGATTTCAAATCTGAATAAGACAGTACAGAGAAATACAATACTATAATGAATCCGTGATTTATGGGCAATGCGCGACTGCACTAGTAGGTACTATTGGTTTTCCATGTCGAAAAGTGAATACAATCAGAAAAAAAAACAATATCAAAACCAGCTGATGAAACTATATTACTTACAAGCTAAAAACTAATCTGTTCCGTACGACCAACAATGATATATTTTTAAAGCAATTGTAAGAATAATGGTACAAGACAGAAGCCATTAATGACATAATGCACAAATGTCTCTGAACGACGTTAATGAACGATCCTATCCTTTGAATCGGCACCCGACAAAATGAAAATACTTTAAATTAACGTCAAGATGGCCTTTTCAAACGCACCCTTTATTTTCACTAATCAAAATTAATTCGGTTGCAATTTTACAACACATATCATTTAGAAATGACTTCATGTCCACAAAACGTTCCTTTGCTAGCTTGTAATTTCCTTTATGAATTGCAATTATAAAATCATAAATGTACACAAACTGGTCTTTTGAAAAAGCTGAATCCTTCAAAGGGAACTCAGTCGAGCAAAGTAGGTCAGCTTTTTTTCCTTCGCCATCACCGCATATATTATACATGGCCAAAAGATGTCGATGTCTCGGGGAGACGTCATTTGCCTAAATAATCAATAATTCTGCATAAAACGAGAGGTCATACCACACTGCGTCAAAAATTGTTCTTAAAAATTCTCCTGTTAATCAACCAAACAGAGCAGTGTGATGATTTTCATACAAACGTCGCTACTCTCCTTCAAAACGTTACCAGAACGCAATTTTTGCTCCTGATCAGCAATAAAACGCAGGCAATCTCGCAGTTTTTCAACAACTCTCTACCATAACCAAACCTGAAACTGAAACTGCAGTAGAAGTAATTGTAGAAGCATTGGAATAAAAAAAAAAGAAATCTTCCCTAAACCTCCTCTTTCTAACCGAAACAAATAGTATCTGTAGAGTGTCAGTAAAGGAAACTTTAGCTGCACATGCTCTTTAAACAAATTCTATTTTTCGTTCCTTTTCCTACTAATTAAGGAATAAAAACTTTGTTTGAAAATAACGACTTTCGAAGTAAACAGACTCGTCTACTCAAACTTTAAACATAAACTGCACTAAAAGCAAAACCTTGTCTGCTCCCATAAAGAAATTAAAAGCGACCTGCTAAAAAAATGCAAAGTGAACATGCCGAACTATAAAATGAATTTTGAAGGCAATCCAATATTGTTTGTCAGTGACATAAAACTAGGTGCACATTTTACTCAGCTCAGTCACCATCCAAAAAAAGAAAGGACATTTTTTGTTGTATGTTCCGTCTTGTTGTCAGTCTCTACGAAAAACTGCGACACAATCTCAAACACTAATCTAAAATTTCAAAACAAATGCCAGAACGCTGTTCTTATTAATACTCCGTTAGTCAATAGTGTATATGCATATGCAATACAACAATTCCCAGAATTACAAAGATTTTTTTTTACACAAAGAGCCTATCTCTGAAAATTACCTTTTGATGATTTACATCCCAAATTTCTTATACACATTTTTCACCCAAAAAAACATCAAACTCATTAAAAAAATCACATACTCGGGATCTACAGCACTTTTCATATGTACAGCCCAAAGCTCATCTACAGTGGAAACAGCAGCAGCATAAAGCCCTAATTCAACTTGACATTCTGCTAGCCTCTGAAGCGCTGCTAACCTGCTGAAATGTTCAACTTCAAGTAAACGAGCCCCTGCAAAAAAAAGTAAGCTTTTTAAAGTAGTAAAAATTAGAAACTTATATAAAATCAATCTATCTAACAGATATCCCTTGCAACAAAAAAGAATTAACAGACGCAGAAACCGTCCCCTCAATTAAAACAGAGAGTAGCAAAACACCAAGCAAAAATTCGTGCTTCACTGAAACCACTTTTTTCGAAAAATAAAAAAGAGATTCATACCCAGTGTAGAAGACATACCTCTAGAAAGGTACTTTAAAGCTAAAGTCGGACGGCCTAATTTGCAGAGAAAGTTGCCCAATTCAACTTGGTGAAGGCCAGCTAGCCAAACTCCATTTCGTTCAAGGATTAATTTTGAAGCTTTGTTAAAACAGTCTTGCATTATATTAAGCCCATCAGAAAAAACTGAAAGTAAAACAGCAAAGTTCAAAAGCATTTAACACTCAACTGCTATATCTTTGTCTTATTAATCTTTCTGATAAAAATTACTGCGGACTACTACCGAAAAATAATTTTAGACGTTATTACTTGTGCACAAAAAAGAGAAACTAAGACATAATTTAAGATTTGAAAAAATACCTGCTGTGTGCAGTTCCTCATCAAGCATCTCACCTTTCGCAAATAGCCGTGCAGCTTTTAATAGATGAATATACTGTTGAGTCCAATCATTCAGGGTCTCGTAGACTGAAGCTATCTGCAAGTGGCAGTATGCAGCACTGCGATTGGACTCTTCATCTCTAAAGTAACAGTTATAAATAAAGATAACAGAATAAAGTAAACAAAACTATTAATAAAATGGAAAACAGGAGAATACAATGAAACTGCCACAGCCTCCTACTTCATTCTCACGTTTTTCCTCTTAAATGTATCAATATAAAATTAGTATGATTACAAACCCCTGCATTAAATTTACACTGACTGAAAGAGTACCTTGCTATACTAGCACAGCTTAATACTGAGGATTACACGGAAAGAGAAAAAAAAAACAAAGCATGACAGAAGCAGACTGCAAAACATACTGAAAACGGCCTGACAGACTACCGTAATCTGCTAAAGCCTGAGGATAATTTGGCTTTTTTAAAAACTTTTTTCTTGTTGACTCACACACCGCCTTATAATCGACCCAAGGATCGCGGTATACCTCAGTCATCGGAACTAAAAAAAAAAAAAAAGGTACCTTACAACTTAAAAAAAAAAACTTTTTCCAGTGGTGATCACGCTTTCGGAGCAAATGTGAATCGAACTCGCACATAAAACTACACCCATTTATTCAGTTTCTAATCAAGTTTCTGCGAACGGCCTAAGTAAAATAATAACATCGACCAGAAATCAGTAACGTAAGGAATTTTAAACATTGCAAATCAATTATAAAAGCACTTATTAGTAGGTTCAAATAAGAAATTATGAACACCGACCGACTCAGTAAGACGAGCATGCTCGCAAAAAATAGACTCTCTTTATCATTACCACATTTCCAAAGAAATAAAATAAAACAGAAACGAAAAATAAATCAAGATGAAAGAACAAAAATGAGTCACAAAATCAAATCACTCATAGCAAAATAAATATTGCAAAAAAAAAATACGCAGAAGATTTTCATACAATGAATGCTGAATGCACTTCTTGGCAACTACAGAAATATGGCGAAGAATATTTATAATTAACGAAAACGGATTACGCCTATCGATGAGATCACACAATGTCCATAAAAAAATTGTTTTGTAAACTTAGAAAAATGAGTACTCATTATAACAAGGAAAAGAATAAAATAAAACAGGAAACATACCAGAATCATATATAAAAATAGAGAATAACAAAACCTGCACTCTTGCAGGATGTGGATCTGCGTCAGATACGCTCGTTAGTTGTGCCGTACAAAACTTCAACTCCTTGCGGTGAAAAATAAAAATGAAAATCACCTGGAAAAGGGAACGTAAATGAACAGAATAACGAAACAATCTTTCCAAACTTTCTGGTTGAACCTTATTGAAATCTATGATGGAACCACTAATATCAAAGACTAGTACAGTAAAATACGAATCCCTAGGTTGTTTTCTGTAAATAAATTTCTTCAGTTCTAAACCCCCTTCCCTCGTCTCTCTCAAATTTCAGTAAAAGCAAGCGTCTACATGCGTATCCATAAATAGCAAGAACTCAAAAAACTTATGCTCATTTAAACCTAAAAATAAAGACTAACTAATATAACGGAAAAACAAAAAAATGCGCTTTCGGAGATACATAATGAACTCTCAACTTATGTGTGGAGATATCCCAAGCATACAATAATATCGAAAAAAGCTAGATTGAAATAAATTTTATAAAAATAATTTTCTGTTTGAATTGCCTCTGTTAGCGGCTTTGAAAAAAAAAAAACTTCCAAAAAATAAGCACGTATAGCAGTTATGAAATGCAAACTGAAACTGTAAATTGTAATAATATCATTAACTATAACTTTTCACTTTTCTCATCCTAGAAATCAACATACATATTATGAAATCAGTATTTCAATGAAAAATGGTCACTGATTTCTCGGTCAATATCTGTAATCAAGCCAGCTGTATCAATCCGTAATTCGTCATAAAGCAAAACATCCTCATCCATTTTCTTATCGGCTTTCTGCTCGGAACTAGAAACCAATTGTTAAAGCTAATTATAAAAGTTCAAAGCTGATTGAATAAACAACTGAACAAAATCTACTCCTGAATTGCATGACTGAGAAAATTGAAGTCGTGTAGTATTAAAAATTCTTTCAAGTCGTGTGTCAGCTTAAGCAGTTCATCGGCAGCACGCATCTAAAATAAGTGAGATAGTTCTAGAAAGAAAATTAGAAAAAACAAACGAATAAAATGATTAAAAATACTAAAACATATCAAGTAATTCAACTTAACAATACAGATTTGAAAGTAAAATCAGGAAAGTAAGCTTAACGAAAAAGTTTTCGAAATACGGAAGTCTTTTAAAAGCAGTTCAGGAAAAAAAGTATTTTGCATTTTCCTAACTTGCAAGAACAGTATAAAATTAACAACTGGTTACCATTAACGCTGCCCGTGCTGTAACCTCGTCTTTCAGCGTGCAGAACTCTGTCATCCTGCCAACTGGATTTTTGTGAGAAGCCTCATCCATACTGATCTGGAACATAAGGCACTTAACTATTGTAAAAATAGATTAAAATTATCAACCGATAAAGGCTGTATTCCCCCAACTGTCTTGAGGCAAATCATAAAAGTTAAACTTCCGAAAAGCCCAAAGCAGCCATTACCGAATGATAAACAATACTAACCTTTGCCGCAGAAATGATGTTGTTAAAATTGTCACTAAGTGACTTGATATTGTCCCTAAGTCGACGTTTATATTCCTGAATAATCAACGCCTTAGACAGAATTGTACGACCCGTTTTCTTAGTGCCAGCATTTGCTCCAGCCGACATACTACGGTTATAATGCGAGAAATTCGAAAAACACAATACACTTTGAAAATGGCCACCAAACTTCGTCTACCAATAGCCAAATCGACAGCTTGCTAAAATCAACAATATTTACTCAACTCAATCAAAAAAAAAAAAAAAGTAAAGAACGTTCACAACGAAGACTCAATTAGGCGCTGTTGTAGCTTGCAGTGGTTGTTGGTACAATTATAAAGAAACAAAAAAATTAAAAACTTGAATAGACTTATGGCTAAAAATATGCAGTTTGTAAAAGCAGCTAGCACTGATCGAACTATATCCATTCCTTATAGAAATGTCTACTTTCACTTTAAAAAGCCATGTCAAGGAAGACTATTTAGAACTATGGATGACTCAGTAGCAAATGATCACACCTGTCAGATTCCGCTTGCAATTCTCTCCGTTATCGCAGCATACAATTTATTATCGATAAAAAAACTTTTGTAAATTACTTTTCAGTTGCATTCTATTACTTGCAAATAACATCGTGTTTATGAAACTTGAAAAAATAATACGTAAAATAAAATCATGAAGAAAAAAAAAGTAAAAAAAATATTATCTGTAAACAGCTTACCTACGCTCTATATTAGATAGAAAGAAAATACGCTAATGATATACAAATAAAAATTCTGTTTCTGACCAAACGGTAAAATTCTGAAGAAAATGGCCCGGCCACCATAAAAAGAACCGCTTTACAGATCTACAACAGACATTTTATAGAATTTAAAAATTAAAAAGTTAGAGTCACAAACAAAAAAAAAAAGTTGTTTTGTCAAAAAACATAAAAGAATAGTGAACAAACGAATTAATTTTCACATAACATTCCAGCAAACAACTTAGCGAGTAACATCAAAAGGCAGCAAAGACTGCGTAGTAGTAACAAATGTTGCGCACAGAATGAGGTCGAAATATATATATATATATATATATATAT